CCCTGCTCTACATGGCTTGGCCATCTCATCCTATCTTCATGTTCTTACCTCATCTTTTCAGCCATACAAGAGGAGCAAGGCATTATGGCCATTGCAGCATCCTCAAAGTCACCTGATCAAAATTTGGATGCTTGGCAACTGGTATGTATTTATGATGGGTCCAGTGTCCTGGATGTGATCATGTGATCCCCTTTTGTGACCTCCTGACAAGCAAAGTTAATGGGGAAGCCAGATTCACTTAACGACCATGTTATTAACTTAACAACAGCAATGATTCACTTAACCACTGTGGCAGGAAAGGTTGTAAAATGGGGCCAAACTCACTTAACAGCTGCCTTGCTTAGCTATGGAAATTTTGGTTGTAAATTGAAGACTACCTGTAACACAAATCCAGACCCTTTGCTTTATATACGTAGTCCTCGACTTACAACCACAATTGAGTCCAAAATGTCTGTTGCTAAGTGAAACATTGATTAAGTGAATTTTGCCCCACTTTACAGGTTTTCTTGCCACAGTTGTTTAGGTTTAGGTTTACTGGACTTATATGTTAAGTCAATCACTGCAGTTGTTAAGTTAGTAACACAATTGTTAAGTGAACCTGGCTTCCCCATTGACTTTGCTTGTCAGAAGTTTGCAAAAGGTAATCTACGACTCCAGGACACTGCAACGGTCATAAAAACGAGTCAGTTGCCAAAGTATTGGAATTTGGATCCCATGACCATGGGGATGCTGCAATGGTCATAAGTGTGAAAAATGGTCATAAGTCACTTTTCCCCGAGCTGTTGTAACTTTGAATGGTCACTAAATGAACTGTTGTAAGTCGTAGATTATCTCTACAATTTTGTTGCTGCAAAGATCTAAATATTATCTTGAAGATTAGCATTTTAGGATTCTATTAGAAACCGCATAGATCTGTTTACATTGCCTCAAGGCTGCACAATTTAAAGCAGCACCAGTCTTCATATTTTGCCAAATTGTAATTTGTCCCAATATTAGGCAGCCTGGCCCATTGGAAGAAATTCTGGGAAATGAGAGTTCAACAGCATTTTGACCCCTATAAATTCCCCAGTTCAGTCATCTGAACATATAATAAACAATCCCCTCTTCATTGAGAAATAGTGATTTTATTTTTAAAAAAATAACCATACTGGCACCAAAATAATTACCATAAATTATATTTTCTTGTCAATTAATGCTAATTATATTAATTGCTGAGCTAGGAACCAAGAGGAAATGAGTTCCGGTTCCATCTTAGGCACTAAAAAAAATGGCTGGGTGACTTTGGGCCAGCCACTCTCTCTCTCAGCCCAACCCACCTCACAGGGTTGTTGTTGTGGGGGAAATAGGAGGAAGAAAGAGTATTATATATGCTTGTCACCTTAAGCTATTTATAAATAATAAATGTGGGATAAAAATCAAATAAATAGTTAGGAAACAAGCAGGAGACATATTGGGAGACCAATTCTGAAATCTGTCATGGAAGGGGACACTTCCGACAACATGAGCATCCTCTCTAGTTTTTGTCTCAGAATATGTTCTTTAAGTATTTAGCTTCATAAATTCACCAGCTCAAATAATGTACCCTAGGGGTATGTGTGTATGTGTGTGTGTGTTTATAATGAACCCTACAATAACAACATAATAAAAAATTGGAAAACTCTTTTCTCTTGTATCAGATATTCTAACAAATGGTTCCATCTCACCACTAGGTGGAGCTCTAGACCCTCATCCAGATTCATACAATCTAGGAGGCTCTTCAGCAACTCTTAACAGTGGCAGTTACAATGTCCCGATATAAAAACTGGCTCACAAGCAAATGATTTCTCAGATGCACGCAACTTACATATTCCAGTTATTTTAGCTACCCTGAGATTTCCATAGACCAAGATCTTTTGTCAGTCGTTCACTTGTTTCCATCCTCAGAATTTTCCAGCCCTGTTTTTCCAAGTACTGTATCATCTATTCTAGAGAGATAGTTCATCACAAGACTCATACTCATCTCAAAGACTTTGGCAGCTCACTCCATATTTCCCTTGCTTGCACCTCCGATATGTGCCTGCCTGCTTGCAAGCTTCATCAACTTGAGTTCCTTATAAAGTAATACATTAGATTAAAAATCTAATGAATGAATACATGAATTTGAGCCTGCTGAGTAGATGAAGCAAAATGTCTCCCTCCTTCCAATTGTGGTCCTTTACTGATGCTCTGTAGGGTGTGGGAAGGACACTCTCATGCAAAATGGCCAGATTCTGCAGAACAGAAGCCTGTGCAACAATCATACTGTTCAATTGTACAGTGAGAAGAATTCTGAAAGCTCCCAAGTCTATGGTTGAACTCCTAAGGTCTATGAACTATAGAAGAATGTGGAGAAAGATCCAATATTGTGTCCAGAATGCCCTAAAGGCAAATTTCTCTCATATTTCATCCAACTGACCCTCTTGAACTGACGAATTAAGCCAAGCATTGTTGCCCATTAGTGATGGGTTGCTCTTACAATCGCTACTGGTACACTACTCAGGGGGTGGCACATCCTGTTCGTGCGCAATCCACTGCCCCTGTGATACCCAGCTGCTTGTTGGGGCTCACGCAGGTGCCGCACGCTGTGCGTGCATGCGCAATTGGGTGGTTGCTTTAAAAACAGATATAGAATGTGGGTGGTGGGTTGGCCAAGCGAGCCACCATATCAGTACGCTGTCAGCTGCTCCCGGCTACTACCAGTATGGCCGTACCGGACCATACCCAGAGGAACCCACCACTGTTGCCCACTACAACTAAAACAGCATACATTCAACATTAAAAGTTTTATGCTGCTGGAGATGCAGAAGTAGGAGAGGATCTTCAAAGTTAGGCA